AACTAACAAAGGTATGCTTTAGAAGCCTGTGAGGCAACTGGAGGCGGTGTTTTCTATAATCTTATATATGTTTTACAGTGAAGTTCTGTACCTGTCTGTTTGTATATAAGTTTATATGCATGTAGGTGGAAGCAAGCCTAACTGAAAACCAAACTCAGTTTTAAATGAAAGTGCATAGGATTCTTCTCTAAGGCCAAGAAATGAAGCTTTGCTTGAATGACGTTGTGACTCAAGAGAGCTTCAAGGTGAAATTTCTTGATCTGTAGCTCCAAATTAGATTAAAATGACAATATAAATTTTTAAAAATTTAAATCAGTTTGATTTTTTAAAAAAATCATTGATTTTTATCCAACCTGCTTGATAGAATTACTACTGATTGATTTTTTTTTCAGCTGAGTGACAGAATAGTTTCTGTATAATGGCTCCAGGATTAGTCAAAATTTCCTCCACCAGGAAATGAGAAGATTATTAGCCTTTCATAAAATTTGAAAATATACTTAATGTCAAGGTGGGTCTTTGTTTTCTCATTTATTGTCACTTTTCAAAAATGTATATTCCGGGTGCAGGAGGCCATTTCATGAAAAAACAATGGCTTTCTTGAGATTAAAAAAGAACATGCCCACTCTCCAGAATCAACAGTGTCCTCCCTACTGGCGAGCTGTAGCCTGAACAGTATCAGTGGCTGCTTGAACTCTAATAGTTCATTCCAATACAAGGACAAATTGTATAAGTCTGCATCTCAAGCTTTGGAGGCATATATTGAAGACTTTGACCTTGGTCTTGCATCTTCAGACATAAGGCCTGGAAAAATCTGCATTACTTCGAGTACTCCAAAAGACCTCAGGTACTCAGAGGACAATTTCAAGTGCAAGCATGGTATGTGTGTGTTTTCCTTTCTATCTGATAGGGGAAACCTTGGTGCTGAAGTGTCGTGAGAATGCTACAGCTGAGGTACATAGTCTTTTGCAGCTCTTATAATGTTGGCTTTACTTGCATCTTCTGTGTTATTTTCATTACATTTTAAATGTTCATTGTATATGTAACATACATTTTTGCTTGAGTGCCTGAAAAAGTGATCATAAATTACTGGTCTATGTCCCATATGATACTTTAATATCACTAAGGTGGTAGCCAACAAAACCTTAATCACTTGACAACGTGACTTGAAATGTAGGTCAATGATTTATGATACCTTCTTCATGTACTCATGTGAAATTATCGTTGAAGTGATGTGAACAGATGTGATGTTTCTAAATAATTGCCCACATGACTGCTTAATTTATGTGAGCAGTTTAATGTTTGATAAGAATTTTCACAGAACCCAAAGCAATTGCATCTCTCTGCAGGGAGGTTTGTTCAACCCCAAACTACATCCCTCACAGAAGCATCTGTTTAGACCTCCATATTCTTATCAGACACTCATTGTTTACTCACATAATTAGATTATTCATGTGCATAGCTATCTGAGGATGGACCAATAATCTAGACCAGCTCTAAGACGCTTCCTCCTATTTATCATCTTATCTGATATAACCAAAAGATTTCGTAGTTATAATTTTAAACTTTATTTGTTGTAAAATTTTGAAAATTTAGCATATTAGAAATCTAGTAGGTAAACATTCTTTTTATACATGCTTACTGGGATAAAATAGTTATTCAAACTATGCCTATAGTTCACCAGTTCTCAAAAGAGCATCTACAGATTTTAATTTGATTCTGTGAAATTATGTTTGTTTTAATATTCTGTGCTGAACTCGTGTCTGGACCTGATAATGGACTGGATGAGGGTTAATAAATTGAAACTCAATCCAGACAAGACGGAAGTGCTGTTAGTGGGTGCTTCGCCGGACAGGTTGGAGGGCCATTTCCCTGCCCTGAATGGGGTTACACTCCCCCTAAGGGACAGGGTCCGCAGCCTGGGGGTGCTCCTGGACCCCAGTCTAACTTTGGAAGCCCAGGTGGACTCGGTGGCCAGAGGCGCCTTCCTTCAGCTGCGGAAATTATACCAGCTGCGGCCCTACCTGGACGAGCGGAGTCTCATGACAGTTACACACGCACTGGTAACATCTCGTATAGATTATTGCAATGCGCTCTATGTGGGGCTGCCTTTGAAGACGGTCCGGCGACTGCAACTGGTCCAGAATCGAGCTGCGCGGCTGGTGAGTGGTGGAGCCGCTAGAGATCACATCAAGCCAATTCTGTTCAATTTACATTGGTTACCAGTTGCTGCCCGAGCCCAATTCAAAGTGCTTGTTTTGACATATAAAGCCCTAAACGGCTTGGGCCCTGGATACTTGAAGGACCGCCTCCTTCCATATGAGCCTACCCGGCAGTTAAGATCTAGCCAGGGGGCCCTTTTGAAAGAGCCATCCCTCAAAGAGGTAAGAGGGATGGCTTGTAGACAAAGGGCCTTCTCGGCAGCTGCCCCCAGAACATAGAAACTGCTCATCATCAGCTATGGATGATTCAATGGGTAATGCGGAATCAGTTCTAGGAAAATATCATATTATTTGTTTAAAATCCAATTTATTAAGCACCAGAAATAATTACAACATAAAATAACATTAATTAAACCTGAAGCAGGGCTACATTACTTGAGAGGTTTACAGGTTATTGCTTGAACTCAAAGAAATCCTGTTATCTAACTACAATACATGAATCATCTTAATGTGTCTCTTCAAAATTGTCCATGAGACAACGAAGGTTTTGCCCCAACGTTCTTTTGTTAACCAAGGAAATAAAACATTGTCAGACTCAAAAGAATATGTCTGTCCTAGATTGTTCTTTAGGTGTTCGCTCTTTGTGCGTCAGTGTCTCAGACAAAGCTGCATGCTTAACTTTTGATCTCACAAGCCAATGGACAGTTCAGTGAAGGGTTTCTATTTCAAGGCTGTTTCCGGCCGAGCGGTCACTAGCCTGAAACAAATTAAGTTCTTAAACATTAGGTCCTTATTAGGTCCTCTGATACATTTAGCAGTGTCAGCTTGGGGTCTAGAGTTACATTTCATCATATTGCAAAATGTAGCATGCTTCTGAAAAGCTTCAGCTCTAATATATGCCATAGAAGAAAGAGCTGTATCCCTTTGCAATGGCTTGAAAATTTGGAGAATTTCTGTCAGTCACTGCCAACAGATTGGGATAGACAGATCAATCATTTACTATATAGCAGCTTGCTAATATACATCTGCAGTTATATTTCCAATATGTAACCTTTTAAAGATTTTAAAGTACAGTGGGGTCTTGACTTAAGAACGACTTGAGTTAAGAACATTTTGACTTAAGAACCACTCTCATAGGAAAATATTGACTTACATACTTAGATTTGAGTTAAGAACTGAAAAAAACCCACGTGGGAGGCAGGGAAAGTGCAAAATTTGAACTTTCAGTTAACTTGGCCAGTGAAAAGGGTGCCTGTCTGCTTCCTCACTCCTCCCAGCATTTAGAGAGTGGATTGGGAGACAGTCTTCGGACTGCCTGGTACTGTACTGCCTGGACTGTATTTTCCCTGCCTTCCCTGAACCTTTCTTGACCTAAGAAAAAAAGAAACAAAATATCCCCCTCTAGTGGTCGAAGGCGGAATAGCAGCTTCCCATTAGTTTCTATGGACGGAAAAGAGCAGATACGGATCAAATGGTTCTCAATGCATTCCTATGGGAAATGCAGATTTGACCTGAGAACTTTTTGACTTCAGAACCGCCTTCCAATACGGATTAAGTTCTCAAGTCAAGACCCCACTGTACCACTCGTGCAGTAGTTTGAGAAGCTGATGTCAATCAGTACAGATTTCTGTTGCTCTTTGGATGTCTTTCAAAATGTTTTTCTTGTTTTACTATTTGTTTTCCATATAACCGTGTGTAAAATTTAGTTTTGAACAGTGTAATTTTCTTTCATGCCTGTACAGCTCATAAATAATAGCAGAAAATTTATCAATCTACCTGTGCAGTAGTTTGAGAAGCTGATGTCAATCAGTACAGATTTCTGTTGCTCTTTGGATGTCTTTCAAAATGTTTTTCTTGTTTTACTATTTGTTTTCCATATAACCGTGTGTAAAATTTAGTTTTGAACAGTGTAATTTTCTTTCATGCCTGTACAGCTCATAAATAATAGCAGAAAATTTATCAATCTACCTTTGTTGTACTGGTTTTGTCAAACCCAAGATGTTCAGTCTGTTTGTAGATAAGCGTGTTTTGGAATGCAACATCCATCAAAACTGTGGAAAGGTGTTTTGTTGTTGTTTTGGTGGGAGGATTATAATTTCCAGTCTTCCCCATGGAACTTGCCCAGTGGTCATGGTGGTTGGGGGAATTCTGGGAGTTGTAATCCAAGTAAGTTATAATTATTTATTTGTTTATAAATTTGTTTGAAATGCATGCATTCCACCCAGCTTGCTGTGCAGATTACAAAGGGAACAGTTTGCAAATATAAAATGAATACAATAAATAATATATAATACATAATAAGCAGAAATATTTGTAAGTTTTTTAAAGAAATGTGTTGAAAAGTGACAATTCTGTGGAATCACTTCTTGTTTTCCAGTTCTGGGGAGCTACAAGCAGTGTGAGAAACCAGTTTCAGTTGTTCCGTATCAGAGGCGAAAAATTACTGATGAGTTAGATGTACTCAGTCTCACCACAGATGATCTCCTAGCATTTCCTGCTGATGGTTCTGTATCTTTTACCCAAAGTGGTGCCTTGAGGACAGCCCCTTTGACTAGCAACCTGAAGAAGAAATCATTTACAGAATCTGCTTCTCAAATTTGTCATCAGACTTCATCGTTTGGCCACAAAGAACTGAATTTTACAGATTCCTCCTTGTGCCAAGACTCTAGCAGAAGGGTGCACACAAAACATAAATTTTGCAAACATGATTCTGGCCTTCCTATAAGAGAACAGCCAGTTGGGCAAGGCGACTCAGAGTCTGTCTCTCATCGGAACTATCCAAGGTGGCTAACAAGCCAAAAAACTGATTTGAGCATTTCAGGAATAAGCAGTATTCCTGATTTCAAGTATCCAGTCTGGCTGAAGAATCATCACCTCCTGCCAGATTCCAGTAATGAGAATTCTGCCCTGCCACAAAACGTAGAATGTGATCCCATATTTTTGCACAGTAACAAGAAGTTGATAAAGAAGGAGACTCTGGACAGACCCATCACCTCTGCATATCCTGGGAATGATGATGTGTTGGGCTTACAATATAATCAGGATGTTTCAAAGAGTAGCCAGTATGATGCTTCACATGCCTGTTTTGCACTTCAGCCTTTAAAGGGCCAAAGGGACCCCTTTCAAGGTAATGACAAGACTGTAAAGGAATCTGAAAGTGGTATTATAATGTACTCAAAACATTTCTTACATGAAAAAACCCGAACTTCTTTATGTCTATTCCAGGGATAATCTTGCACACTCCCTAGTTAGGGTCAGAATTGCCTTCTGAGTGTCCATATGTCTTTCTCCTTTTAGTTACAGTTGTGGAATCAGGCATAGTTAGCATGCTGTAGAATTTTGTATTTCTACTAATTATGGTAGAAAAATAGAATCCATAATGAATGGTTTTATTTTATATGGTTATTAGAAACACCAGCTTGGGTGTGATGCTAACTATATTTTGCTTCATGAACTCATATATCTTTTCTACTATGCAAGGCACCAAGCCATCTTACAAGAGCAAAAAAATTAAATCAATTAATGTTTACAACAAATAAAACAGGAGTGATAAAAAGATGAACAAAAAAGAAAGAAAAAGAAAAAATGGCAATAAAGGCAGTTAAAAGCTAGTATGCTGAGTCTGTGTGTAAAAGCTCAGAAGCAGCCAAGACAGGTGTCACCCTGTATTTGCGCATCCTATTTTTTACCTGAATGTAGAACTTCACTCTGTTGAAACACTTTTTGTTTCTTTTGGCAATGTCATAAGGTCATCTTCATTCCTGATTCTGACTTTTGAAGTGCTGCCTACTCTGTCCCAGTTTGATGTTTATCTACAGATCTGTTGTACATCACATCTGCTCTTTTATTGAAACCATTTATGAAGATGAAAGGGGATACTAGGCCCAGTGAAGAACACTGTGGCAGTCCACTTTTCACTTTCCTGTAGGATCACAAGCAGTCGAAGTGCTACAAATGTATCTGTCAGTAGCATAGTCTAGCTCATATTTTACCAGTTTGGCTACAAGAGTATCTTGTGGAAGCTTGGCAAAAGCCATGCTGAAATCAAGATAGGTGACATGCGTAGCATTCTTGTGGTTACCAAGCTTGAAACTCTTATTTTTTAAAAATCCTGGCATGGCTTGTTTTTGAAAAACTGATGCTGGCTCTTAATAATCACTGCATTATTTTCTGAGTACTCACAGACTAACAGTTTTATGATCTGTTCTAGAACAGTTTCTGGTATTGATATCAAACTGACTTGTTGGTAGTTGCCCAGATCCTCTTTGCCCTCTTTTTTAAAGGGAGGAAGGACTTGAGAGAGCTCACATTTCCTCCAAGTATTTGCAAAGAACTAGGGAGAGACTTCAAGGGTACATATGCAATATCTCATGCTATCCTTGGGTGCAGTTCATCTGGCCCTGGAGACTTGAATTCATTTAATGCTGGTAGAGTGTTTCTGAACCATCTCTTCACCTGTTTTGGACTGCTGTCTCCTGCGATCTCCTTTATTCTACTTGCATTGGGTTCAACACTTGTTTTTCTTCTAGGAGAGGACAGAGGCAAAATGCATGTTAAGAAGTTCTACCTTTTTTCTATCACCCATTTGCATGAATCATAGAATCGTAGGGTTGGAAGGGACCTTGGAGGTCTTCTAGTCCAACCCTTTGCCCAAGGCAGGAGACCTCATACCATCCTGGAAAAATAGCTGTCCATTTTTTTTCTTGAAAACCTCCAGCAATGGGGCACCCACAACATTGGGAAGCAAGCTGTTCAACTGTTTGATGGTTCTCACCCTCAGGAAATTCCTCCTTATTTCCAGGTTGGATCTCCCTCTGATGGGTTTCCACCCATTGGTTCTTGTCCTACCCTCAGGTGCAATGGAGAATAAATCCATGCCCTCTTCCCTGTAGCAGTCCTTCAGATACAGTGGGGTCTCGACTTACGAACCTATCATGTCTCCCCATAGTCTTCTCTTCATTCAGCTAAACATGCCTAACATGTTTTCCCGAAAATAAGACAGGGTCTTATATTAGTTTTTGCTCCCCCCCCAAAAAAAAAGCATTAGGGCTTTCTTAGAAATCTAATGAATGAATAAATAAATATTTTCAGGGAGTTTTTTTTCTTTCATGTACAACAATCTACATTTATTCAGATACAATAATGTTATCTTCTTCTGGTTGCTGCACAATAGTGGAGGGCAGGGTTTCACTTAACTGGGGCTTATTTTCGGGATAGGGCTTATATTACGAGCATCTTGAAAAATCATAAAGGTAAAGGTAAACTGGTTTATGAACAGAGCTCAACTACTTCATAGCTGCATTCCTAACTGCATGACTGACTCCTGACTTGCTGACTGATGACAAAGGTAAAGGTTCCCCTTGACATTTAGTCCAGTTGTGTCCAACTCTAGGATGCAGTGCTCATCCCTGTTTCCAAGCCATAGAGCCAGCATTTGTCCAAAGACAGTTTCTGTGGTCACGTGGCCAGCGCGACTAGACACAGATAGCCGTGACCTTCCCACCGTGGTGGTACCTATTTATCTACTTGCATTTTTACATGCTTTGAATGGCTAGGTTTGCAGGAGCTGGGACAAGCGATGGGGGCTCACTCCGTCGCATGGATTTGATCTTACAACTGCAGGTCTTCTGACCTTGCAGCACAGAGGCTTCTGCGGTTTAACCCACAGCGCCACCACGTGCTGTGGTGCACCTAGAATGAAAAATCATATTAGGGCTTATTTTCAGGTTAGGTCTTATTTTCGGGGAAACAGGGTAGTTCTTTTAGTTGTTCTTCATAGGATTTACCTCCAGTCCCCTTATCATCTTTGTTGCTCTTCTCTGCACTCCTTTCAAGCCCTCAGCATCTTTTTTGTATTGTGGTGATCAGAACTGGAGACAGCACTCCAAGTGCAGCCTCACCAGTGCAGTATACAGTTGTACTGTCACTTCCCATGATCTTGATGCTTTCCTCCTGTTGATGCAGCCAAGGACTGTGTTGGCTTTCTTGGCAGCTGCAGCACACTGCTGACTCATCCTTAGGCAGTGGTCCACCAGGACACCTAAATCCCTACTCCTTTTCCCCCCTCATAACTGCCCCCTTTTAAATCTTAGGTCACACTGTTCTAGCTGACAAAAGTATAGGACACAATAAAAGTATCTGTTTTTAAATTGCCACACTATTTGGTGTTTTTTTTTTAGCAAACCCTTTTGGTACCTGTATTTATATATTTAAATATATGTTGAGCAAATGTAACTTTAGATATTTGTGTTTATTTAAATTAATATTGCAGCATATGAGTTGTGAATGATTTGCATTTAATTGTGATGGACAACTGATTATTTTAGATGATGGCACTGAGTCATTACTTCAGAAACCATGGAGAACTCTGAAATCTTCTGAGGAATTAAATGCTGCACTGAAAAATGATAGCAGCCCTTGTACAGTGGATATACTGGAAGCTGAAAGATCATGGGATAATGTTCCAGTTGGTTTGTGAGTAAACAAAATATTCCTGTGTCTTTGTTAAGAAAACATAGGTCTGTCTCAGGTTAGCATTTCACAAGACCATATCCAGAGTATCATAGCTTTTTTGCAGATCTCCAGCTCACCTGAACTTGAAAAAAATAGGACATATTCCTGCAATTAGCTTGTCTATGTTTTGAAAGAACATAAGATGAGCTTTGCCGGATTAGACCACAGACCTATCAAGTGCAGTACTGTATTCAAAGTGGCCACCTGGATACCTATAAGAATCCTCCAAGCAGGACATAGAGATAATAGCCCTCTCTCATTTCTCACCAACTGACATTCAGAAGCATTTGTATAGCCGTCATGATTATTAGGCATTGATAGCCATATCCTCCTTGTTTATCTCTAAACTCCTGTTAAAGCAACTTAGAACTTGTGGCTGGCATTGCATATTGTAGTAGCAAATCTCTAATCTAACCAGGTGTAGTGTGCAATGTACTTCCTTTTGTTTGTCCCGCATCTCTTGACATTCAGTTTTATTGGATGTCCCACAGTTCTCATAGTATGAGAGAGGCAGAGAAAAATTGCAGATCACTAGCTTCATGGGAACCTGGCTGACTGCAAGTAGTGCTAGTGCCCTTTCTTTGATCTCCAGCTCCTGTGAGGCCCATAATCATGTAGATCTTCCATTCAGAGCCCTGCATTGCAACATCACAGCATGATACTGACAGATGCTGCTTGAAATGAGTAATATTTGCAAGCTAGCAAAAAATATAAGATGTGTACACTAGCAGCAAACTATTTACATTATATACTATGGTTTGTTGCATGGTGCATCTGACATTCCAACAAAGCACAATTAGCTTAAATAAATTTGGATATAGTTGTATGTGAACAAGGCCAGATTCTAGTTTCAAGGGCTGTTTGTGGATTATGTCAACATATTTTTGAGAATGAGAAACTATTTCAGACCAGTATTTAAGCTCCACATACTACCTACAGGAGATCTCCAGTACCTGTGTGTTGTGAAGATGAGAACTCTGTACAGAGTCCCAAAGCAAACATAGTCAATGGATTTTTGGAAGACTGCTTGAAGAATAGCAGCCAGGTAAGTTTAAAAGTTTTTTAACTGAAAATTGTGTGGTTTAAGGAGCCGTGGTTTTCCATTTGTTTTTCTGAGGCATCCTGGACTTCCCTGACAATCATGGAAGTGTTAAGTACATTCCATGTTTAGACATATGACCAAATGTAACATGAGGATTTTCCTTCCCACCTCCTTAGAGTGGAAGATGTGGGAAGCAATCTTTCTCTTTTCTCCAGACAATGGATTTTATCTCTCTGTCCTCCTCTCCAGTTGGAAGAGGGATGTTGTCCTTATGATCTCTGATCACTGACCGGAGATGATAGTAAGGATATCCTTTGTGTACATGGAGAAATTGGAGAAACTGGGAACGGACATCAATGATCATCAGATGGAGGGGTACCCTGTCTTCTGACATTATCCTGCCTGCTAAATTGGTCCTGGGGCACCATCTGGGATCCAGGACCAATTCTTTCCTCATAGTGCTTTAGGGGATGGTTCACAAAAGTAAATTCAGCAGGGCTGATACCACTATATGTGAATGGATTGTGTGCCCTAGAATAAGCCCTCAAACTCTGTCTGATCACCAAAGAGTTACTGTCAGATAGTTCCCCAAGGAAACGGAGACAGAAGATCACTGGGGAAACAATATACTTCTACTTGAAGTGTTAGTATTTCCAAAATGCCTAGACTTTGAATATTACCGGTAGATTCTGGACATAATTCTTTCAAGCATCTTGGTTAAACATACAGTAGTTAATTATTTTAGTATAGGTATCGATGGGATATCTATTTCTATCGTATAACATAAAACCCAGTAGTAGAACTAGAAAAGAGGCACTCTTTTCTAATGGAGCCATGGGCTGCTCTTTATATATAAGTCATACTAAAGGTGAGAAATCTACCTCCCAAGCCTCGATCTGTCTGCTTTCATTTGGTATGAGAACTTTTTCATCCCTTGCATTAAGATCAGTGTTCTTTCATTACAGTGTCTTTCTTTGGTTCCAGGAGAGTACATTTTCTGGAGGGAATCATCATGGGCCTGTAGAAGCTTTGAAGCTAATGCTGTTTAATCTTCAAGCAGTCCAGCACAGCTTTAACCAGAACAAACCTGCTGGACAAAAGGAAGAGTTTAAAAAAGTAAGCAGTTCTATTTTCAGTTGGACTCCCCTTGGTGTTTAATTATTTTGTCTCCCTTTTTCCCCTCCTTGCTTGAAAAAGCTTATTGAAGAAGTGACCTCTAAAAAAACTGGGCACAGTTACATAAATTCAAAGGGCTTGGAAATAATAAGTGTATCACACACATAAATACTGAGAGTGCAAGAATCTTTGAAAAGTGATGGATCTATTTCAATTGAGGTGGAAATCTGTAAAAGAAAACGCATTCTCTTTGCAGCTGACAGCAATGTTAAACCTTTGGTATATAGTATTAATATATAGCAAAAATACCATATAAAATAAGGGTGCATTTAAAAAAAGCTAGAACCGCCACCATGTATTCATAAACATCTATAGTTTAGGCATTGAGTCTTTTTACCCAGAAGTAATTATTATTGCATTTCAGCTACATTCTTCTACTGTGTGGCTAACTGAAAACTGCTATAGATCAGTATTGTTATTATAATCATCACCATAGAGGTTGGGTGTGTACCCTGAATAAAGTCTATAATTTAAGAGGAAACAGGGGAAGTGGGAGGAAAGGGAAATAACATATACATTATTTCAGTTAAGATTTTGTAACAGCAGAACACAATGGCCGTGCCAAAGCCTTTACAGAAGAGATGAGTTTTGAGGAGATTTTTGAAGGAACTGAGAGTAAAGGCATAATGCAGTGTTAAGAAGTACTACTGAACACTGCTGGAGGGAGTAGAAGTAGGTTCCACTGAAATCAGTGGGTCTTACTACAGTTAAGTATATATAGGACAGCAACCTAAAGCACCTTTTGGATTTGTGGCAAAAGATTGAAGAAACAAACAGGAATGTAGGCTGCAACCAGGTGCTTGAAACCAGCAGTTTATTAGGTAAAGCCAGCCCAGTTCATTTCATTGTGTTTCCTTCCTTGGCACAGAAGGTCTTTGTTTGTTTAATTCTTATATACTAGTTAAAATAATTCATATAGTAGGGCCTAAATCCTTATACCTGCTGCTGTAAAATAGTTGGAGGAATTTTTGATGCAAGTATAAGAAGCTAGTGTAGTTTGTTGTTTTGTACCAGGTCACAACTTTTTTTTTTACTTGGGACACAATTCTGCTGAAATTGTCTCTTAATTGCATTACAGCAGCATAAAAACAGTAGATTTTGGCTACAAAATGTCTGTTTTCAAACTGCAAAATGACCTTAATTTTCCTTCGAATTCCTCTTCAAAGCTGACCTTTACTCTGAAGTCCTTGAGAAAATTATCAAGGACTTCTCTGCAGGCCCTCTCAAAAATATACGTATTTTCTTAACCCTGGTTTGCGTTGTAGCACTTTTGCTTATGTAAGGAAGTTAGGTGCTGCTTTCCAAGATCCAGTAGGACATGTGTGTGATTCAACCAGCAGAAATGGGGTTAATTATCCTCTCTCTTTCTTGTAAAATCCAAAACCTTTATCCTGACTAAGAAGGAAGGTAGGTTTGGGTAATTGGGCCAAGATGTCCTGAGCGCTTGTGAATTCTTATTTAAGGCCTTGGAATAGTTTCTGAGGAGGAGCCTGTCCCTGGCTTCTCATGACAAGTGGATGGTTTACACTTGTGGAGATCCTGGGAGTCCTCGTGCAGCAGAAACCATTTAATTGGCTTGATTTGATTGGTGGCAAGTTTCAGCTAGCTCATGAGGGAATGATGAGATATAAGGTGCGATGGAACAATGAGTTAGGAGAGTGGTAGACAGCTTGTAGCAATATGCTTCTTTGTGCTTCCTTTGATATGTCACCATCATCATACTGAACTTTGCTACATTGTAAGTGTAGCTCAGAACTAGGTAGCTTTCTTGTTTTCTGTGAGAATGAGTCCTAATTGCCTGAAATTCTGAAACTGCTATTTTTTTGTAATATGAAACTGCTTTGCATTATATTCATCTTGCTTGAGTCATTAGGCCTTTTGCAGAACCGTTATGTTTTACTAAACATTACAGTGGGGTCTTGACTTAAGAACATTTTGACTTAAGAACCGCTCTCACTTGTTTTCTGATGAGTCCTAATTGCCTGAAATTCTGAAACTGCTATTTTTTTGTAATATGAAACTGCTTTGCATTATATTCATCTTGCTTGAGTCATTAGGCCTTTTGCAGAACCATTATGTTTTACTAAACATTACTTCAATAAAATTATAAAAGATTTACAGCTGTGTTGTCCTTTGGTCAGCAAATTATAAAAAATTTACAGCTGTGTTGTCCTTTGGTCAGCTGCAGGGGATTGAAGGTACTAAATTCTGTACCTTATGCACTCTGAGTTTTTTGAGTATCCTCAAAGGTTTTTAAGTTTCTACCTTGCAGGGTTGGTTTGCAATCAGGAGCAACAACCTGCATGTTCTCTTCTCCCTGAAGCACCAAGGAGCAAGTGGCTCGGAGGGTGTTGGGAGAAGAGACTCACTGGAATCTTCCCCAGTCATTAGTCCACTGACCCACCTAGCAAGCACCCACATCAGCTGTCACAAAGGCAGTGTGACTGGTCCTCTCTGTGGTAACCTAGAGACCATGACAATGTGCGCTCTCCCAGGGAACTGTAGAAATTGGCCACTGCTGCCCAACTGTG